CAAAAAATGCATGTATAAATTGATAGACACTATAAAAAACAAAAAGATGCAAATTATTTATTTGCTAATTATAAAAGATTATAGGCTATATATTCTACAAATATAATATTATTTTAATAATAAAAATATCTGACGTGTTTCAAAATATATTTATAAATAATTTTAATACATAATATAGTTTCAAAAATATTTTATATATATATTTAAAATATTCTCAACACATAATTTTTTTAAATATTTAATAGGAAAAATATACATATAAAATATGTATATTATAGATTCTATACTTGTTTTATCAATATATATTATGAATCTATTTTATACATTCAAAACTTATATTTAATTTATATTTTGCATTGCTTTTTGGTAATATTTTAAATATATATTTGAATATATCAAACTATTATTAAAGATATATTATATATATATTTTATTCGAGGTTCTATCAAATACAACTTTAAATATATAAAATATTTATAAAATACATATTTGTGCTACTAGGAATATAGGCTAGATAGATAATTAGGGTGCAAAAATGTGTATTCAACTCTAAATATAACTAAATAAAATATTTTAACAGCAGCAAAAAGTAAAGTTATGACTAACGTGAACAAAACTCTGGTGTGAGAAATTGTCAAAGTTGCTGCTGTGATAACAAACACATCTCAGACAGCTCGGCTCAACTCACTGTCTACATCAGCTGTAACTACAATGGCCAACTCTGTGTGGTACAGTACGTGAATCACTACATAAAATCATGGTTGGGGGTTTGTAACTAAATCACTACAGTGAATACGATGGGTCGTTTCTTGAAGTTTTGTTTGAATCTTGCACATTTACGTAGAACTTTACAAACATTTGTCTGTTTTGAACCAAGCTCTCTACTGCATTCAACAGTAGATTTCTGTAGGTAAAACTTTAACTTACAGTCTCTACAACTTCATTGATCACTGACGGCTTTCCAGTTGATTTATTTATATAAGAGAGATATTTCCATTTATCTTAAAATTCAAGTACTAACTAAAATGGTCTTAAAACAAATTAACCCGGTAATATTTATAATCAAAATCAGGAACTTCACTTGTAATAACCTTGTATATTATAGAAAAAAAACTGGTATAAATAAACTCTGTATCCAAACAACCTAGCAGTTAAAACTACCTAATGAACCACCTTAAAGCAGAAAAGATTTGTAAAAGTTCTGCAGACTACAAACGATTTTCTTTTACCTACTGGTAGCACAGATAACAAGTAAATTAGAATACTTAGTACATAGCTGTAAGCAGTGATTAACTAGAGGTGTCACTCAAGGGGGTTAGGGTGGAGCCACCCTATTTTATAATAATATATAGTAAAAAACCCCCCCAAATAATATATAAAAATTGGAAAAGTTATACATTTTTGTGTTTTTAAAGGTGAGCTGGGATTTTAGGAAGGTTGGAACTGTCTACTTTAAAGGTTTATTTTTAAACCAAACAGTCATCTAGGCTTACTCTTCTTTATAAATTAATAATTAAAGTAAAAGAAAGTGTTGGAAAATGCATATACAGTACGTTATGTTACGTATCTGTAGTAGAAAGTAATTCACGGCTTTTCAGGGGAACTAGAACGTCGCACGATTGTGCGAGTTAATTAAACTACGTAGAACATTTTCCAAGTGTAGCTGTTTCCAAGGACAGCATTGCCTATGACTGATATGCCTAAGCACGTTATTAATTTCCATTTTTCCTCCAATTCTCAGTGAACGTCAAAACTTTATTTTACAACGAACCTGGAATAACATATGCGCTCACTAGTGTAATAAATCCACATTTTATATCATTTAACAGTAAGTTTTTTTATGTCATATCAGTTCACGATAAGCAATGTTTTAGTGTAAACACAATGATCATCTTTTGCGACCCTGCTCGGAAGTGTCTTCTAGGAAGAACCGTAGCACAGCAAGAGACCTTGCTCTACTGGCGGTAACGTAGAGCTCTCCGTGTCTAAACGCATAGGTTTCGGAAGATACACTCCAACTTTAACTGCCCTTGCACTTTGCTGGTGGTCATTGCGAATGCCGGGATAATAAGGATCTGCGTCCGTTCCAATGCGAAAGGGAGCACAGTATTGCGGGGTAATTCAGTACACGGAGTCCAGATGAAGCTCTCCAGCTAAATTCCGCTACGGTTACCGGTAATATTTGTCCGGCGACGCTGTAGTACTAAAGAAGTGCCATTAAAAAGGCAGGCAATAGTGAAAAAAATTAAGCCAAGTAATCTCACATGTATGATCTGTTTTCATTACAACATAAACATATACAAATATTACCAGCTGTTAAAAGAAATAGCTTGAACCTATGTAAACAAAAAAGGTAAACATTGGAACTTTAAAAGCCACTGGGGCAGAGCCCAGTAAACTTTTTCAAGACCTTATATGACATCTACTCAATGAAATCTTTCCAATCTATATAAATAATAAACCCTAAACTAACAAAATCGGTTGAGAAACCACAGAGGAGTTCTGCCTACAAAAATCGTGCTTGCCAATTTTATATATAGATTTCTTTCTGAGATGTGGATGGAGGGGAGTATCCACTGAGTATTTATTAAAACCCCTATTTTAAGAGGCTATAAACTTGATTTATTATTGGTCAGTTCAGTGTAGGGATAATCAACTCAATTAAGATTGAGAAACCTTCATTTCTTTTTATTCACAGATTTCAGCTATAAAGGTAAAATATTCTGACTGATAAAACCTTGATATTAATTAGTTGAAAAATACGAGTAATATGGTTGGTAAATCTCTGTAGTATAGTTGGGAAATTCAAAATGTCTCCTCCACACCAATATTCTTTCTTGAGACACCTCTGAATCTGAATATATGATACACATGTATACATGATGAATGTTAGTAATTGACATTCTAAATATGATATTGGCTTGGCTCTCAATCATAACTTTATATTATTGTTTCATCGTATTCAGTTTTTTCACAAACTCCAACTATACTTGGTACATCCCAGGTCCATAGTTTGTATAATTGGACAAAATAGTAATAGGGATCCCAAAAATTTAACCAATGGTCAAAGTTCTTACACGTTTTGAAAACCTCAGTGCTGTACTGGGCATTCAGGACCTTATACAACCTTGGAATTTCATGTGGCTGAACTGTACATCTAAGTAATAAAGTAACCGGAAATTAAGTATAATGGGAAATACTCAAATATCTTTTGCTAAACAGTATTCTAATATCTACGACTTATTAAATTATATAACACCCCCAGAACACCAATGACAGATATCAGAAAGAGAATTTGGGTGCTTCCATCACTGAAATATTGTATCGTCATAGGAAAAAGGAAATCACAGGTGTAGGGTAGATCAAAATTAACAGTCTGTTGAGCTTATTGAGAAAGGCCAGTAACCCATCTAACCAGCTACCTATAAGCTTCTAGACCTCTGGTAACCATTTAACCAGCATGGCAAGAGTGACACAACACTAATGTTAAGCCGGGTTTTCCTAGGCGCGGAGTCGGCCAGCGGAGAGAGGAACGCGGAGAGCGGACTCCACTTGTCTTAGGCAATTTAATGTTACTGTTTTCCTAGAAGCGGAGCGGAATGCCATGTTAATTTCAATTCCGCTCTCCGCGTTCCTTTCTCCGCTGGCCGACTCCGCGGCTAGGAAAACCCAGCTTTAGGAATAGAACCCCCATATGATGTTCAAGTTAAAAGGCGTGTAGCTGCAGTTCAGTCAAGCTGCATTATTCAGTACCAAAGAACCTATTATCCATCTGTTACTGTTTTTGATCACTGACATACTGTCAGTTGTTGGTTGTCTAAAAGTGCAATGATCTCAGATTAGTGCTAGCAGAGTTGGGAAGAGCAGCATGAGATCTAGGGTGTATCGGGTGTTTACACATACATCGCCATAAACAGACAGGCAGGATCTAAGGTATGAGGGAAACTGTTCACATTACGAGGGTAGCCAAGGGACTTCTTTTTGTTATTGTTGTTGGATCCAAAAATACCCTCTGTGTTGTAAAATAACAAATTGGAGCTGTTTAAGGCCCTCTACCAAATGGCTTAAGTGCCCATAACGTTGTATCCATGCACTCTGAAGAACGTTGCAATTTTTTAAGGTACAAAGGAAACTCGCTTATGGGACTACTGCACAATTTCAGCTCTAGTATGCTGTGCCGTAAATATACTTTGACCAAGGAAGAGCCCGGGTGGTGAGCGCTGAGCGGAAATTCCTATCCCACAGGGCACATGGTCTTCCTTTTATTATCCTATCATTATGGTTCTATTGGTGTGAGTAATGCAAAAATCATATTGTGAGTATTTAAGTGGATTCGATACCACCAACGTAAAACTCCTACCAGATGTCATTATTTGTGTAGTGTTTCCACGGTACATCTTCAGATAAGTGTATATTTAAAATGCCTAGTAGGCTACAAGATATAAATAAAAAAAATTTGAATATTGGCCCTAAGTTTAGGGGCTACCCACTAGGCACTTGTTTCGCTCTCAACCAGGCATGTACAGTTAAAGAGTCACTCCAATGCAGCACTTTTGTGTTGTTCTGGATAAGGACGTTTGCCGAGATTATACTTCTCAACAAATACAGGACATATGATGCATATATAACACACTGTGGTATTTGCCTGTTCAAAAGAGTACACCGAGACCCTTTTTGTCATAAACAACCACAAATCTTATATCTTTAGTCCATTAAAACTTGTGATGTTGAAACTATTGATTCTGAAATACAAAGTAGGTCTAATTAAAGCCTTATAGAATTCCTTGACTTTGTCAATAAGATAAAAATAATATATATTTTCAGCCCTTGACAATGGTAGGAGAATGTTGTAGGATTTATGCTGTGGAAGATTAGCGATAAATATTTTAAGTTTTTATGTACCGGTATTCCATTTCATGAAGAACAAGTTGTAATAATAGTCAAAGAACAAATATTCTTTTTAATAAACTTACTAGGGATATGTAATAACAACTCAGGTGTAAAGTTATTTTAATATTTTTATTCTCATTTATTTCAATATCCTCCCGCATTATCACAGTCACTTTGAATGAAAGAAATCGAACACGAAAAGTCGACCCTCAGGTCACCTCTATACAATCAACCTGACAGACAACAAATGCATGTGGCGCCGCAACAACAACATATAACAAAGAAAACAAAGCAATTATTGTACAATACATGATACAAGATTGTTGCATGATACACTGACAGTGCTACTGCATTTATATTGGGTAACCTTTGCTCAACCATTGCACAAATAAAAAAACTTCTGTAGGAAGGGACATGTAATGCAAACAGGTACAGTAAGCTTACAATACAAAAATACAATCAACACACGTAAACAGTTTGCCAAGAAGGATTTTAGTTACAAAAAGAAAAAAGTAGACTGATTAAATCAGTTCATGATTATGCATAGCATGATCGTGAATAGTAAAATATTACGCATAGCAAAATAGTTTTATAACTATAAGTGTGTAAAAAGTTTTATTTTTTAAATAACCCAGCCAAAGAAAAAGATCTATAAATATCAAGGCGATACAATATCCAAATAATTGGCACCAAGGTGTGGCTAAGATTTTGACTTAAGTTGTTATTGTCTTTTAGAGGCAGGCACTAGACTACAGGAAAAGGGGTGGATTAAAAAACAAACTTGAAGTTGTATTGAAAAACAAAACAAATTAAAAAGCGTAATAAAGGTGACATTTTCAAAAATACTCTCAAAAAAGAGTTACAAACAAAATTTTACAAATATGGGCTTAGTCTTGTTCAAATAACAACCAGAACTTCTAGGAAGTGTTGTCAAACTAAAACATGACGTTTTATGAAGACTAGTATAGTTAGTTTTAGTGGATTGTATAATAAATATATACTGCATGTTTTGGCAAAGTTGATCAAATTATATAATAACAATTTTTATGGTTATGGCATCTGGCCAAGTCACAGTCAAACAGTATAGTGAACATAACATTAAACAATAAACATTTGTATACATTAATGGGTTGACTTGGCTACATTCCATGCTCTGGTCTGGGCCAACTGCCTCACACCTTACACATTACATGTACAGTAAAACTCACTGTTTGATGGTGTTACTATGCAGCAACTTAACTAAAAACTAAGAAATAAACATGTAAAATGATTTTTTTTAAACCATCGACAATTAAATAGGTTCATGAAGACACAACTTTGATTTAATCTACTTTGTTAGAACTGAAAACATAAATTTTAGATAACAGTTCTAGTCAAAACATTAGTATTATTAGTTTTTGTCCTCTTATTATAATCGATTTGAATTTTTATTATTGCATGTGGAAAATGAGGACAACTGCAATTGTAACTGCAATGTTTGAGCAAAGGTTAACACTAAAGGCCACACATGGCGCCACATACCCCAACTATAATCTACATTCTCTCCTAAGCAAACAACAGTCTAATATATAACATTTATTTATTTATAATATATAATATTTGTATAGATACAGTAAGGAGGTTCAAGGCAAACTATTTTTGTCGGTTTTCCTATTTTTTAATATGACTCCTTACAATCAGCCTTCTAAAGTGGAACCACATATATATATATTACCCTTAGTATAAATGTTTCAGATTACATAATTTAATTAGATAAGATTGAAACACATTCGAGTTCGCAAAATATCAGTACTGATCAAGAGAGGATTTTCCAAAAATAGTTCACGATGAAAACATAGATCAATGTTAATGAAAATATATAAATAACTTGAATTTAGGTAACACTTAAGACCTTGAATGTAGACATGATGAAATGAGGCTGAGTTAAGGCATAGGAAGGCTTGAAGCCAAAATAGCAGTCCACTTTGGGTACTGGTATTTAGCGAACATACAATAGTAGAATGTCAGTCTCAGTGTAGCGAGCCAGGCTTTACTTTCACAACAACACGTCACGTCATAGACTGTCAGATGTTGTTGGCAAAGACAACTCATATCACCAACACCAGCTGCCAAACTAATACAGTTCCACTCACTGTTTAATAATAACTTTTAATTAATAACTTTAAACAGTTATTGTAATGGAATTATTCAATATTACAAAATAATACTGAAATAGACATTGTAAACAATATTTTGATCCTTATTTAGTGATCGAAATTGCTCAAGAGCAGAATATTTAAAATTTTGTAAAAACTAGTATGTTACACATAGGAGCAGGAGGAGGGATGTGTATTTTTTAATATTGAAAAATCAAAATGTCATCAAATGCTAAATAAGCAAGTGAGAAAAAGTATAATAAATAACACAATGACTGACTGAAGGACAGTGATTTTGTGAAAGCAAAGCTTGGATGAAGCTCAGCCTGCAGATCTCTTGGAATGTAAGCAGGCTCTGATATGTTCAATGGACATTGGAAGATTACTTAGCCATCTAAAAGCGTATACTGACAAAATCCCTGTTTCACATTCTAGGCTCAGTTGGAACAATACTGCCGGGGCCGGAGCCAGTCTTTGGGAAACACATCAACTTATCACAATATATAAATATCGCACTAAACCGAACGGAGGGGGACTATAGCCGAAGCGAGAATCTTTGGCTGCGACTTCTCTCCTGGGAGTTGGGCCCCGGCGTGGACTACGCTAAACACTCACACGCTGAGTGTCCGTTCAGGAACTATCTTATGACTGTCGTATGGCGGTTCCTCGCGGCACTTGTATACCCGCAATACGTATAAATAAGTTTACAGCGGAGTAACTAATATAAACTTTGGCAAAATAAGTGGTTAGACGAGAGCAGTCCTAGACTTGGTAGAGCCTGAGCATGGTGTCATTGTTCCACAGAACTCGAGAGTTGTCATCGGTGACTCGACAGTGAGGGTAGTTCCACTGGGTGCACACCTTGCAGCAGGAGGGGCGGGCTCGCTTGGCGGGGGGAGCAGGCCATGCAGGTGGAGGGCGGCGATGTAGCGACGACGCTGCATGCTCTGGACCAGGCTCCACTGCTCGGGTCCTGCAAACCAAATGTAAAATATTATGATTGGGCTATTAAATAATGATTCTTCAAGCTTAAGGACATCTTAGTAAAAAATCCCAAAAATTTATAATAAAAGGAGGATATTTAACATTTTATGCAAGGCTAATGTAGCAACAAGTTTAAAATATTAAAATAATCCTTTGTTACTTTCACTTACTTTACATGATTTATTATTAGAATTGTTAAGGAAATTGACAGGAAAGCAGGCTTACCTTTAAATAAGTCCATAGAGACACATACACATAACACATCACAAAATTAAAAGTAGAAATTTTCGTGGTCACTGACCACTTTTTCAACCACTGGAGATTGGAGAAATGGCAATGGCAGTTGCAATTTGAATCTATTGCACCTTGTCAGGGTTGCCAACACAGATGAAGAGACTAAAAATTGTTTTTACTGTTGCATATGTATGAATGTGTTCACTTATTATGAATAATCCACTATATTTACACTGTTCTATATTTACACATATGTACACACACATATTAACATTTTTTATATACACTAGCCTGCTATGGAAGGTGAGGAATGGGGTTTATCTTAGATTAAGGTTTGGTGGGTTTCTAGAATGGGTGAACCATTGGTAGCTTAGTTCCCATCTTCTCAGTTCTGAGGGGTTGCAGTTTGGAGGCAGTTGTTTTATTATTTTTGAAGAGTAGCAGCTATTAAAATCAGATTTTGAGTGGGATGAGGCATGGTTGACTACTGGTTTGTCTTTATAATTATTTTTTACATCTTGACGATGACCGTTCATTCTGGTACGGAACTGGTTCTTTGTTAGGCCTATATACTGAGCTGGGCAGTTTTTACATTGAAGCTGATAAATTACATTGCTGGTGCTGCAGGTGTTGTGTCCTTGAATCTTGAAAACTTCATTTGTGGCGTTGCTGGAAAAACTTGTGGTGGGGGGGTTGATGGGACACGTTTTACATCTGGAAGTATTACATGGGAAAGAGCCGTTAGGGGGTTTGTTTCTGGTTGCTGTGATTGGATCCGGTATCTTAGGATGAACAAGAATCTTTTTGATGTTAGGTGGTTGGCGAAATGTGGTGGTTGGGGGGGTTTTCAGGAAATCCTTTGTGTGGGGGGAAGCTTGGAGAATTTTGAATCCATCTTTTAGAATGGAGTTGAGGGATTGTAGGCCATGGTGGTATTCGGTTATTAGGTTTAGGTTTTGCTGTGGTTTTAGTTTCTTTGTTGGAGGGTTGTTTGATTGGGCTAAACGGATTTGGTTTTCTACAAGGTTTTTGGGGTAGCCTCTTTCAACAAATGCGTTGGAAATTTTCGAATTGAAATTGGAGAGTTCCTCTTCTGTCGAACAAATACGTTTGGCTCGGATGGCTTGGCTATAAGGTATAGATCTTTTGGTGTTGGCTGGATGACAACTGTCAAAATGTAAGTATTGTAAGTTATTGGTGGGTTTGATGTGAATGCCAGTGGTTATCAGTCCATTATTCAATTTCACGTTAACATCTAAAAATGTTATTTCTGAAGGTGAGCTGTTGTGGGTGAACTGTAAAATACTGAAATTTTGTAGATTCTTGAGGAATTCATTGAGGGATTCTGTTCCAGATGTCCAGATTAGAAAGATGTCATCTATAAAGCGGAACCAGCACTCAGGTTGTACTTTTTGCTGTCGGAGGAAGGCTTGTTCGAGGCGACCCATGAAGAGGTTGGCATATGACGGTGCCATTCTTGTTCCCATTGCTGTGCCTTTAGTTTGGATGTAATTCTTTCCCTCAAACTGAAAATTGTTTTTCTCTAGGATAAATTTGGCCAAATTGATAAGAAAAGAAGTGGATGGAAGTGAGTTTTTCGGTCGTTGATCAAGAAAGTGTTCCAAAGCTGCTAGGCCATGCGTGTGGGGGATGTTGGTGTACAGTGAGGTTACATCTACAGTTACTAGAATGGCATCAGGTGGCAAAGGTGTGGGAATCATTTGATTTGTTGGCTCAAACAAATGAAAAATGCAGCTTTTAAATTGGCAAAAGTGAATTCCCATGTTTTATTCCTGGAAGCTTGTGTTAACCTAGGCCTATCTCCTTTAGGCCTTACTGCCAAACCACCTCTCTCAGGCACCCCACAATTTATGTGGCCTAAACTGATTAACTCTTATAAAGCAATATCTTTAAATACAACAAAAACTGTTTTGGAAGATTACAAATCTGAACAATACAAACTGATCAAAAGTCTCAACTCCAACTACCGACTCTTACTAAGTACTGCTCCAAACCTCATTGAAGAAATAGTAAGAACTATAACAACAGCCAATAAACTTCAAGAAAAACTTGCTGGAATCAAATTGAAAAAACTCTCCAAGCTATGTATTCAAAGGTTAAATGACTATGGCTACATTGAGGCCTATCAGAAACCTTCCAACAAAGATATACCCTTACTAGGTGATAGGCCTAGCCTAGCTTCTCTTTTTAAGCTTCCAATACCAACTGGGCAGCTTCCCCATCTACCAAAAACACCTAACCTAACTCCAGTTTATAAAAAAACAAACAATGACAAACCAGCATCCACTTCTTCCACCAACTCCATAATGAATATTTCAAACCATCATTTAACTGAGGATGAAACTAGGGTACTTTCTAAAGGCCTAACCTTCACACCGACTCAGAAGCCTGACCTATTCAGCCTAGGTAAAGATGTTTTCTCTTTTGCCAGAAACCTCCGGATACAATACTATTTAACGAACACCCTAATGCTCTAAATAACGCAAACATGCCTGAAGACTGTCTAATGAAGTTTAAACCTCCATCTAATTGGGACCCACCTCCACTACAACCAGATCATCCGATAGAACTATACATAAACTATATAATGCAAAGTATAACTGATCCAAATTTTAAGAACAATCTTTCAGACTCAGACAACCTAACCAGACCTGAAAGAACAGCCCTACGATCTTTACAGAAAAACAATGACATCATGATTTTACCGGCGGATAAAGGATCAACAACTGTCGTAATGAACACTGATGACTACAAACAAGAGGCCTACAGACAACTCTCAGACAGAACAACATACAAACCAATTGATGAGGATCCTACAAACAAATTTAATGAGGAATTAAATCAGTGGCTAAAACAAGAAGCTCCACGTCAGAACATTTCGACCAGTACACTGGACCTACTAATTAACAAAGAACCCAAAACACCTTAATTCTACATACTGCCAAAAATCCACAAAAACATTTTACCCCCTCCAGGCAGACCGATTGTGGCCAGCTGCAACTCTATAACCGAAAGAATCTCGGCCTATCTTGATTCCCATCTTCAGCCTATAGTAAAAGAACTACCCTCCCATGTGAAAGACACCAATCACTTCCTAGACAGACTTCAAATGATTCCCACACCTTTGCCACCTGATGCCATTCTAGTAACTGTAGATGTAACCTCACTGTACACCAACATCCCCCACACGCATGGCCTAGCAGCTTTGGAACACTTTCTTGATCAACGACCGAAAAACTCACTTCCATCCACTTCTTTTCTTATCAATTTGGCCAAATTTATCCTAGAGAAAAACAATTTTCAGTTTGAGGGAAAGAATTACATCCAAACTAAAGGCACAGCAATGGGAACAAGAATGGCACCGTCATATGCCAACCTCTTCATGGGTCGCCTCGAACAAGCCTTCCTCCGACAGCAAAAAGTACAACCTGAGTGCTGGTTCCGCTTTATAGATGACATCTTTCTAATCTGGACATCTGGAACAGAATCCCTCAATGAATTCCTCAAGAATCTACAAAATTTCAGTATTTTACAGTTCACCCACAACAGCTCACCTTCAGAAATAACATTTTTAGATGTTAACGTGAAATTGAATAATGGACTGATAACCACTGGCATTCACATCAAACCCACCAATAACTTACAATACTTACATTTTGACAGTTGTCATCCAGCCAACACCAAAAGATCTATACCTTATAGCCAAGCCATCCGAGCCAAACGTATTTGTTCGACAGAAGAGGAACTCTCCAATTTCAATTCGAAAATTTCCAACGCATTTGTTGAAAGAGGCTACCCCAAAAACCTTGTAGAAAACCAAATCCGTTTAGCCCAATCAAACAACCCTCCAACAAAGAAACTAAAACCACAGCAAAACCTAAACCTAATAACCGAATACCACCATGGCCTACAATCCCTCAACTCCATTCTAAAAGATGGATTCAAAATTCTCCAAGCTTCCCCCCACACAAAGGATTTCCTGAAAACCCCCCCAACCACCACATTTCGCCAACCACCTAACATCAAAAAGATTCTTGTTCATCCTAAGATACCGGATCCAATCACAGCAACCAGAAACAAACCCCCTAACGGCTCTTTCCCATGTAATACTTCCAGATGTAAAACGTGTCCCATCAACCCCCCCACCACAAGTTTTTCCAGCAACGCCACAAATGAAGTTTTCAAGATTCAAGGACACAACACCTGCAGCACCAGCAATGTAATTTATCAGCTTCAATGTAAAAACTGCCCAGCTCAGTATATAGGCCTAACAAAGAACCAGTTCCGTACCAGAATGAACGGTCATCGTCAAGATGTAAAAAATAATTATAAAGACAAACCAGTAGTCAACCATGCCTCATCCCACTCAAAATCTGATTTTAATAGCTGCTACTCTTCAAAAATAATAAAACAACTGCCTCCAAACTGCAACCCCTCAGAACTGAGAAGATGGGAACTAAGCTACCAATGGTTCACCCATTCTAGAAACCCACCAAACCTTAATCTAAGATAAACCCCATTCCTCACCTTCCATAGCAGGCTAGTGTATATAAAAAATGTTAATATGTGTGTGTACATATGTGTAAATATAGAACAGTGTAAATATAGTGGATTATTCATAATAAGTGAACACATTCATACATATGCAACAGTAAAAACAATTTTTAGTCTCTTCATCTGTGTTGGCAACCCTGACAAGGTGCAATAGATTCAAATTGCAACTGCCATTGCCATTTCTCCAATCTCCAGTGGTTGAAAAAGTGGTCAGTGACCACGAAAATTTCTACTTTTAATTTTGTGATGTGTTATGTGTATGTGTCTCTATGGACTTATTTAAAGGTAAGCCTGCTTTCCTGTCAATTTCCTTAATAATTCCTGGCAAATGCCCTATCCTTTTATAAGATAACCTTATTATTAGAATTGGTCAATAGTGTGATCAAGGGGTACACATTTGATAACTAGTAGCTGAGCGGTAAAGTGCTTGCCTAACAATCAGAAGGTCGCTTATTTGATCCTGAGAAAAGGCAATAGCTTTCTGACGGTTCTAAACCAAGCCCAGCTGTCTTTGATCATTTGAGTTTTAATAAATGGTCCTGGCTGAAGAAACAGCTGTGTAATTAAATTTTATGGTTAACCTTCCACTGACCTAATTAAAATTTCCGTTACAACAAAAAGAAGCTGATGATTTTTCCCTATATCTGTTGGTAGGAGTAACTGCTGGCCAGGGCTACTAAATGCTGTGTGACTCTCTGTTGCTGAGAACATTGTATAGGTAATAGTTATGATTACCTATGTCTGTTGGTAGGAGTGACTGCTGGTCAGGGCTGCTGAGTGACAGTACGTCCAGAGTGTGCGCCGATTCAGATTTAAATGGCACATGCATTTAAATGGATGTGTCCATAGTGGCCGCCGGTGTCCGAGCCGGTGCGCAGGTACCTGCTTACCGGAATGAATTCTTCATTCTGGTTTCAGATTCAGATTCAGATTTTGCTCATACGCATACTATTTAGTTAGATAAATTATACTATTTAGTTAACACGTTCGCTGCGGCACTTCAAATGGCGGGCGTATCCTCAGTGCGGCTCAGCCCTCAGCGTCGAACAAACCCCATTGCCGCGTGTGATTGGCTTTCCAATTTTGGTTTGACGAATAGCACATAACGTGCGGGGATGTCCTGCTTTACGAGAGTCAACGTAGTTTGCTAAACACCCACAGATAGCAGCACTGCTTGGAACGTAGCCGGTCCCTTTGTAATTGTATTGCCAAATGGAGGGAAAAAAACGGGACAAAAAGTAGATTTTTGAGATTGCCAGACGGGGATTTTACGGGGAAATTTACTACCAACCTACACCACAACAAAATGCAAGACGCATAGGGCTAACGTGGTATAGGTTCACTTTCGGCCAACGCTAGAGCAAAAACGAAGATGTACAAAAGGCATTTCCGAGCGTTACCCGATCGGGAACGGCCGCACTCTATGTGTTAAATAAATTATGTTTTATAGTAAAATATTTATTTTTTTCATTCTTACTTTTAGGGTTACCACTAAACGGTCTTCAGGATTTTTTTTGGTTATGTAGGTTACACCAGTCTCTTACAAAACGATGTCCAATTTTAATAATACGTTTCAGTGGTTCCCACTCAACGCAATATAGAAAGAAGCTATATCATTTCTAGCTATAGGAAAAGAGATATAATATCATGAACACCATTTTTCACTGGCTGTAACTTCACAACAGTTTCAGACGCTATAAATTTACACGTTAATTCCTTATCCGACAATTCCATAACAACGACTGACTTGTTTCTTTGCTAACCGAGTCAGTACCGGCGGCGTATTTCCTGCTTCTACTGTGGCCACCAACAAAACATCTGACTCAGATTAACCACGCGCCGAAAATCTGAATCTGAATCGGCGTGCACTCTGGACGTACCGTGACTCTCTGTTGCTGAGAACATTGTATGTTAGTGATGATGATTACCTGTGCCTGCTGGTAGGAGTGACTGCTGGCCAGGGCTGCTGAGTGACTCTCTGTTGATGAGAACATTGTATGATAGTGATGATGATTACCTGTGTCTGCTGGTAGGAGTGACTGCTGGCCAGGGCTGCTGAGTGACTCTCTGTTGATGAGAACATTGTATGATAGTGATGATGATTACCTGTGTCTGCTGATAGGAGTGACTGCTGGCCAGGGCTGCTGAGTGACTCTCTGTTGCTGAGAACATTGTATGATAGTGATGATGATTACCTGTGTCTGCTGGTAGGAGTGACTGCTGGCCAGGGCTGCTGAGTGACTCTCTGTTGATGAGAACATTGTATGATAGTGATGATGATTACCTGTGTCTGCTGGTAGGAGTGACTGCTGGCCAGGGCTGCTGAGTGACTCTCTGTTGATGAGGACATTGTATGATAGTGATGATGATTACCTGTGTCTGCTGGTAGGAGTGACTGCTGGCCAGGGCTGCTGAGTGACTCTCTGTTGATGAGTACATTGTATGATAGTGATGATGATTACCTGTGTCTGCTGGTAGGAGTGACTGCTGGCCAGGGCTGCTGAGTGACTCTCTGTTGATGAGTACATTGTATGATAGTGATGATGATTACGTGTGTCTGCTGGTAGGAGTGACTGCTGGCCAGGGCTGCTGAGTGACTCTCTGTTGATGAGTACATTGTATGATAGTGATGATGATTACCTGTGTCTGCTGGTAGGAGTGACTGCTGGCCAGGGCTGCTGAGTGACTCTCTGTTGATGAGTACATTGTATGATAGTGATGATGATTACCTGTGTCTGCTGGTAGGAGTGACTGCTGGCCAGGGCTGCTGAGTGACTCTCTGTTGATGAGAACATTGTATGATAGTGATGATGATTACCTATGTCTGCTGGTAGGAGTGACTGCTGGCCAGGGCTGCTGAGTGACTCTCTGTTGCTGAGGATGTAGGAACTGTGGTTGGCAGGCCTTACAAGCAGCTACAGCAGCAACCCCCACAGCGGGGCCTCCGGCCACTGCTCCTGCAGCCATGCCTCCCCCACAACCACTGTTGTTGTTCACCTCTGTACACGGCATGCTCAGCAAATCTGCACAAAAACACAAGCTTTGTAAAAAAGTACTATCCCAAATCATCAATTCACCTGAAATCCTACCTCTTCTCACCAATCAATCTTATCTTTTTAATTAATTTTAAAAAAAATTAAATTTATGTTACAATTATGCAGGCTTCTTTTGTTTTTGGTACACTTTCAATTTGTAAACTATATAGTTACCGGTACTCCATTATTTAAAAGCGTTTCAACTTTCACATTCATGAGACAGTTTTTTTACCTGCTCTGTTTAAGATATGATTTATTAATCACTCTACTTATAGGCAGTGAATGTTTTGATATTTACGATTTGAAAACAAAGAATTTACAATGGCGAATGTACATTCTTATCTGCATTTTAACTCTACTGAAAATGTATAGTGCAAGATAAATTTATTTTGCTCTAAAGAAGTAAAGATACAGTATAATCTACATGGGAGTCAGTATTCCTGGAATAAAGTCCTATGGAAATATATTTTATGCCACACTACGCTGTTTTAAGAAACTTCCTATACAAGGATTTAGTTCAGTTAATATCTGTTTGCCGCCAACTTAATCAAGTGGGGTTTCATAACTTACTAGTGACATAGATGAAGTAATATAATTATATTACTTAATCTATGCTACTGTACTGTAATGAGTTTTTACCGGACACAAGCTTATTATATTTGGCAAGGAGTGGCTATAAACAAAAACACAACCTCTCATAAAGTATTAGTAGTGGTTGATAGTCCTTTAGTCGGTAAAAAATTATAAGGATTTGTACAGGTTTTTTTATTGTTAAGTTAGCTTAGAGTAGTACAGTATGGCATAAAATATTGTACATCACTCATCAAAAATGTGTTTACTGGATTCGTAAGGTAATCCCGCACTCGACTTCGTCTCGCACGGAAACGACGACACACGGCCAGTTAACACCTATTTTCAGGACTAGTAACGTAATATACTATATCATAATAAGTGATCACTTAACAGTTCAACAGCTGTTTTACTTAACTTCCGTGGTCCATCTGATGACTAGTAATCCAATATTTAAAGCTATTATTCAATTTCTATTGTAACAAATTTTAATAGAAATTTATGTTAACAAGCAAGGTTTGACAGCTTTACTTTCAGACCTATCCCTAGTGTTCTTGGAATTGTTGAGAGTATTATGGTCAATAGCTTATTAGTGTAATTGGATTAACTATGAGTATCACAAGTGGGTCATAGAAACAGAATGTGGTTTGAGAACCTGCAGTAGATAACACGATAATGGATAATACTATATGGTTTGTGTTCTGAAGATGTGGTCTGTGTACTAATAATTTGGTCAACTTACTGATTGATACTTATTGATTGATATTGTCATTTGTGTGCTGATAATATAAATTGCATGACAATAAACTGGTTTTGATAACTGATAATGTGGTTTGTGAGCTGATAATGTGGTTGTTTTGCTAATAATGCAGTTTGTGAGCTGATAATATGGTTTATGAGCTGATAATACATTTGTAATAATTTGTATGATAATAGATTAGTTTGTTTGCTAATAGGCTGATAGGGTTTGTGAGCTGATAATTAAATTGAGCGGAGCGAGCGAAGCGAGCGAAGCTCTTATACGTCGACTCTTATGCATTTCGTAATACGCAAACTCCTCCTAGACGGCTGAATCAATCGTTTTCAAATTTTGCATGGTGATAAAGACCATATCGGTGAGTGCCAACATCTATATGGCGTTAAAAAAGTCTCTCAGGAATCCGCCCCACTGGGTCTCAAAGTTTCAATGTAATTCTTATGGAAGCAGTATTTGACACAGAAACAAAAACATGTGATCAGCTGTTGACTTTTGAATGCAGTAGATAAAGAAATAGCTGATAGCATTAATTCACAGATATTAGAACAGAAACGGTATAAATATAATCAAATGACGACACTAGCTTGAGGTTCGTGACGTAGGAATTGGTGAAGGAAGAAGTAAAGGTGAGCTGTCCGGAGTGTGGAAACTGTTTATAACGATTAGATTAAGGTATCTGCATTACTAAAATTCTATGGGAAGGGAGGAAAACGGGTCCACGACGTAGGAAGTGGTGAAGGAAGTAGTCAATGCTAGCTGTCCGGAGTGTGGAAACTGTTTATGACAATTAGATTAAGGTATCTGCATTCCTAAAATGCTATTGGAAGGGAGGAAAACGAGTCCGCGACGTAGGAATTGGTAAAGGAAGTAGTCAAGGAGAGCTGCCCAGTGCCCGGAGTGTGAAAACTGTTTATGATGATTAGATTTAGGTATCCGCATTCTTAAAATTCTATGGGAAGGGAGGGAAACAGGTCCGTGACGTAGGAAGTGGTGAAGGAAGTAGTAAAGGTGAGCTGTCCGGAGTGTGGAAACTGTTTATGACAATTAGATTAAGGTATCTGTATTCCTAAAATGCTATTGGAAGGGAGGAAAACGGGTCCGCGACGTAGGAAGTGGTGAAGGAAGTAGTGAAGGCGAGTTGTTCGGAGTGTGGGAACTGTTTATGACGATTAGATTAAGGTATCTGCATTCCTAAAATTCTATGGGAAGGCAGGAAAACGGGTCCGCGACGTAGGAAGTGGTGAAGGAAGTAGTCAAGGCTATCTGTCCGGAGTGTGGAAACTGTTTATGACAATTAGATTAAGGTATCTGCATTCCTAAAATGCTATTAAAAGGGAGGAAAACGGGTCTGCGACGTAGGAAGTGGCGAAGTAAGTAGTGAAGGCGAGTTGTTTGGAGTGTGGGAACTGTTAATGACGATTAGATTAAGGTATCTGCAATCCTAAAATGCTATGGAAAGGGAGGGAAACAGGTCCATGACGTAGGAAGTGGTGAAGGAAGTAGTAAAGTATGAGCATAGTGTGAGAACCGTCTGTAGCAGTTATATTAATGTATCTTCAATCCTAAAATGCTATGAGAAGGGAAGTAAACATGCCCCACGACGTAGGAAGTGGTGAAGGAAGTAGTAAAGGCTGGCAGTGCAGAGTGGGGGAACCTTTTGGACAGTTAGATGAATGTATCTAATACTTAAATGCTATGAGAAGGGAAGGAAGCAGGTCTATGACGTAGGAAATGGTGAAGGAAGTAGTAAGGCTTGCAGTGCAGAGTGTGGGAACTGTCTATGGCAATTACATTAATGTATCTGCAATCCTAAAATGCTATGGGAAGAGAGGGAGACAGGTCCACGACGAAGGGGGTGGTGAAGGACGTAGTAATGGTGAGCAGTGTTGAGTGTGGGAATGGATTAATGTGTCTGCAATGCTAAAATACTATGGTACTGTAGACGGTAGGTTAAGATTATTACGAAGCACGAATCGATACATATTTCGATACATGCAATCGTTTACAGTAGAAATTTACAACCGAGTTGACAACAGCTGAATTTTACTTCATAGAGGCTAAAAATGATGTTTACTCTATAGAGGCTAAAAACGATTTTTACTTCCTAAAGAGTAAAAATGCTACTTTAGACCCGCAACGCATGCATTAAAAATGACTGTTTTTACTGCAGTATGACAAAAACAATATAATATGAACCCTTGATGACTCCGCTCAATTTTGTGGATGCCTCTGCGAACGCCACCTAGTTTATGTATATATCCACTCTATCTATTTAATTAATTAGCTTATAGTATGCTCTTTATTAGCATATGTAGACATTAGTGTTGCGATGTAAATGAAATTTGTAATATCATTTGTGACTGATTATAGGGGGGCTAAATATAGGTGAGGTGATTATGTGTTTTTGAGCTGATTGAAGGTGAGCTGATAATGTGGTTTGTGAGCTGATAATGTGGTTGGTGAGCTGATAATGTGGTTTGTGAGCTGATAATGTGGTTTGTGAGCTGATAATGTGGTTTTTGAGCTGATAATGTGGTTTGTGAGCTGATAATGCAGTTCATTAGCTGATAATGCGGTTTGTGAGCTGATAAAAAACGTGGTTTGTGAGCTGATAACAAACGTGGTTTGTGAGCTGATAACAAACGTGGTTTGTGAGCTGATAACAAACGTGGTTTGTGAGCTGATAACAAACGTGGTTTGTGAGCTGATAACGTGGTTTGTGTCACGTGGTTTGTGAGCTGATAATGTGGTTTTTGAGCTGATAATTTGGTTTGTGAGCTGATAATGCAGTTCATTAGCTGATGATGTGGTTTAATAGATGATGAATTTGTGAGGTAAGAGCGAGGATGGTAATATGGTAGATGGGATGGATAGTAGTGTGGATAGTAGACTATAGTGTGTGGATGGTAGACTTATGAATCCATTTATTATTGAATTATTGATATTATAGACTAATTGAATGGGGAAAAGATTATTTGTAAATACTTTTGACCCAGTAAATATCGGCAGTAAATTTATGTAAAATAAAATGGCAGTTACAAAGTGGAGTTAAATTAAACCTTCGAGAACCTTTTTGTAGTTGTTGTTTATACTGGAGTGTTTTTTGACATTTGGATGCCTGTGATATTACTGATATTGTGAAGGAGCGACAGACATACCTGATGTGACTGCCCAGCTGTGCCTGGAACTCTGGTTCTGCGTCTGGTTTGTCGTCTGGTTTGTCGTCTGGTTCGTCGTATCCCCTGGAACAAACATACCTTTAATATTCCTGTGTAGGTGGTTAAACTACATAGTTCTCACAAAAGATTCAATAGGTTTGCTGATTCAGATAGTAGGTGGGTTAAGAAAACGTTGTTAGCAAGTTAACCATGTATTCAAACATTCAACATGATGATAATTAATTAATTAGTGTATGACATCTTTGTAATCTGAAATAGATTGGACAAAAATGTAAAAAAATTCCAATAACAACCAGTCTCAGGGCGGTATGGGATGAGTAAGTAATGAATGTACCCCCCTCCCCTCCCCCTCGTAGAGTCGCTTCCTCATTCACAACTGGTCCAAGGTCGACCAGTCCCCCCTCCTCCCGCCTACACTATAACACGCACGCACACAGACGCAACGCCGCCGATTGTATGTCATTCCGTAATTACTGCATCAGTTGACTCATCCATTCCCAGAGCTTCTCTTAGTTACCATGTTGCTACATACTATATTGGATGGATGGATATGTGGCTTATCTTGAAATTGGAAAGTTGTACATACTGTACTGTACACAAAATGTCTTATATTGTGTATCTATATTGTTAACAGAATTTATTTTTGCTAAATAAAAGTATCCTTGACATTTTTTTCATAAAATCATTCATTTTTTGTAATTTAAGTTAAAAAAATTAAAATGACCACCATTTTGAGATTTTAAGTCTAATCAAGACGATTTTTTTCTAACATGGGTCGTCTCTTCTACCTTAACATACATACTAAGTTTAATAAAGATCGGTTCAAACAATTCCAAGATAATAATGTTAATGTAAAAAATACAAAATGGCGGATATCTGGTAAACGAAGTGATTTGGGAAAAAATTTTATTTTTTATTTTCTCTTTATTTTTGAACCAAGGAATCACTACGTAATATATGTCCCCACCTTTTTTTAACACCCTGTTTACGGCTCACTGTCAGGCTTGAAAGAGCTTTTATGTTCACAGACGGAATCCAGCTACTTAAAGCAATTTTTAATACTAAAAAATCTATGCTATTGTGTAATTGTATACTTAATCCAGCAAACTAATTATTTGTAATATGAGGTTAGGTTTGAGACACCCAAACGTTTCCCATGGCAAATTTATAATCCAACTTAAAACGGCAAGTCAGAAGATAATCCTTAATTGCCACACCATTTCAAATGTAGAAGACATAATGTTAAGCACTCCATAAACCGATCATGCAATATATTCGCATATTTTGCCTACCATTAGCCTGGTTTGCAAGCTTTGGTATATTGAGGAAAACTGAAAGATCGTCCTGTAAAATATGTAACGCTCACAATCTAATTACCTAACGAGAATATGAAGATGAACAAATCACCGCAGAGATATAAGCTTTGAAGGAAGGGCAAGCCACAGTCACGCAAGCTCTCCACTTGCCGATACTCGTTATTTATCCAGTCATAATGGCTTTCTAAAGAGCTTTTAATACATGCCATTGACGTTGTTTGCCTCTTCAAGATGGCGGACGTTGTGTCGTGATCCTTCTGTCCCAACACTGCAATTTGCGATGGATTTTTTATTATTTGATTAGAGGACACCAGGCTAACGCTGTGGTTACTGTATTGGAAGATTGCACGATATCGAGTAAAGGGGAATAGTAAATCGAGTAGTTAAACGTTCTAGGTTCTAGGTGCCTATTAATTTAGCCCCACCGGGTACTTGTAAGCACCTGCAAGAGTAGTACAATATGGAACACTTCCCTACTTCAATCGAATAATTTAACGTTTAGCGTCTTAAGTATCTAGTAATACAACTATATGTTGCTTGTGTACACCTGCAGGTCGAAATAGAATACGGAAAACTTGTTCACCAGAGGGTAAATCGAAATGTCATAGTAAACCCCCACCATCGAGTTGTTGTCTCCAAGAAGAGGAAATGCTTTGAAATATAGCTTGACACGATGCGTGTAGACGAGGTTCTTGTAATATAGCTTGGCATGATGCGTGTAGACGATATGCTTGTAATATAGCTTGGCATGCTGCGTGTAGACGATATGCTTGTAATATAACTTAACATGATGCGTGTAGACGATATGCTTGTAATATAACTTGGCATGATGCGTTTAGACGAGGTTCTCATAATATAGCTTGGCATGCTGCGTGTAAACGAAGTGCTTGTAATATAGCTTGGTACTATGCGTTTAGCCGAAGTGCTTTGTAATATAGCTTGGCATAATGCGTGTATACGCCTACATGATTTCCAAATAGAATATAACAACATCATAAAGAGCGACATTAGGTACGATGTTATGATATATAGTCATTGGTACGATGCATATACCGTGTACATTACGGGAGCGTTGCCCGACATCTACCTACATCGGCGACAATATAGATAGAATAGAATAACACTTCGAGGACTTCAAACTTCAGCTCTCGGCCATTCACTAAATAATGCAACTCAGACAGCTATATTTACCGCGAGAACTTATACCACTGAAACGTTATTGCCGGCAATAACAGCTTTCTGAGGAAACCCCAAACACCATTCTGGGAAACCTAAAATAGGCGAGAGATGCCTGATTACCTTCGCAATCAGCCGGGGCCTGGAGTGATGCTGCTTATACATTCAAACCTAGCCCTAAACACAATAATCATATTGTCAAACCTGGGTGCTACAGATTGAACTTCCTAAACATTACGTGTAATAAGCGGCTAAAACTGCGGTGGTTTATATAAATTATAGCTTAGACTGCACGCGAGACGGGCGGGTAGCGGGTAGCGCCTAGGGTCCATGGGACGGGCGACGGGCGACGGGCGAGTACCTACCTTGTGTACTCTTGCTGGGAGAAGAGTTTAAACATTCTACAAATACCTAACTGGTGAGTTTGAGTAGCATCTCTGCGAGAAAATTACTTCTAGAACATGTTACTAAACATCGCCAATGCGGGAAAATTCTACAGTCTTATCTAAGAGAATTGTATTTCTTTTACAAGTAATTTACTGCCATACATTTAGCCAATGTCGATGGATAAATATTTACAGTCTTTTCTAAGATATCTGAACACAATTTCACTAGCAATAAATCCACTAAACAATTCGCCATAAGAATGGTTGTTTTGGAACTAATTTTATTATTTGTTATTTGTTGTTAGTAAAATTACAATACAGTAAAGCACAAAATAATTCTTCAGGTTTACAAATGGTTAGCAATTATTACACTCAAATAACTGAATAGCACTCAAGTTCCAATTATAGAATAAAAAAATATAAAAATCTCTAAGAACGATTGTAATGTTTTTATAATATCGTCGACACCCACAAGAAAGGAAATTGTAGGCCATTTTAAATTGGCTTGCATAAAATACAACTGGCGTGTTCGTGCAGCCCTTTATAAGTTATTAATCTGTAGTCCCTACTATTATCCGGCTCCTCCTTATCCGTCCAATTACAGGACCTGGCTAACAGTTAGTCGGTACCACTACACACTACATTCTATACACTATACACTCATACAACCACTACCAGTGTGTGTGTGTATCGTAATTGGGGGTTGTGGACTTGGCAACATATTGCAATTAGCGGGATTGGGTCGAGGTAATAGCCGGGTTTCCAACAATAAGCAGTGATTCCCTAATTAAAGGGTGCAACATTGTAGTTATACAGTATATCCTCTGTAAGGCGCTAGGGCTAGACCAACAGCTTCCCGGATTAAGTAAGAACGCTCGGTATGAGTCTGTGAACTGTGTTATAATGTCCAGACCCGGGGCCATAGTGAATAATTGAATGGCTCTGCTTCAACCCTTCCTAGCGTGCGTCTTACAACCTACTACAGTATATAACCATCGACTGTGATACTTACATCATATACGTTGGCTGCTTATAAAGTTGCATTATTTTCAATACTGTACTGTGTTTGTCGTAATTCAGTAATCTATGGTATCAAATTATTTCGGTAAACATTCTTTCGCAAAATTCGAAATGAATCTAGTTTAACATCGAAGAAAAGGGAAATAAACCTTGTAATTGTTAGTTATATGAGAATGGTTTATAATTTTTTCGTGCGAATGAACTTAATGCTAAATGAGTTTAAGAAATGTGTTTAAACTTACTCAGCTCTCGATTGCTGATGGTGTTGGTTTGACATCTCGAGGTACCTGAAACAAACATTATTAGTTAAAACTAAATACTTACAAAGAAAGCGAATTATCGAAGATAATCAAATGAATTCTACATAATATTTATCAGATTACCAGCCCAAGTTTTTACTCTGAGCAAAATAATCCAATGACCGCACGGCATTGAGAGCAGACTGTAGATTGAATGATTCAATTAACTTTTTATGTTGTGTTTGGTAAAATAAACGCAGAATGAAGAGTCATGGAATCTATTACATTGTTGACAGAGTCGTGCGCGGGTACAATATACGGAGGATTGTTGCCTGCTAGTCATGTACAAACAATCTATCCCCCCCTCCACCCCCCCGTCAACGTGTGTCTCGGGGGCATTGTGAACATCAACCATTTATTGAATTACTAATGAGTAATATGATTAATATTTATTCACAAACCCCAGTGCTCGGCAATGTACATGTATAACCAGAATACTATGTTTATTTTAAATATATATCGTTCCGTGTCGCCGGAGTAAATTGATACAATTTGTGGGTTTTCAATATCTGACTCTGTAGCCACGTAGCACAAATTGGCGGGAACTTGGGCAGAAACGCGTCGGAAAGAAAGTGATTAGACGTTGTCGGCGATGATTTACGTCCGGGAATATTGGGCGATAAATTTTGTTGCGCAAAGCCGATCGGATATTGACAAGCGGGGCTGCTGTCCGCTCCGCATTCGACTTGCAGATATCCTGCATTCTGTGACCTGCGAATGGAAATATTGTAGAACATGTGTCTTTGTTGACCGGCCTCACAGTTCGCATCAGCACAGTCGAGAGTATATAATACTGTATGAGTTTATACCAATAACTACAGGAGTTTACACGATTTAGTGTTTATAAGTTTTCTAGTAAAGTTATTAACTCGTATTTCATTTTCGTATCTAACCATAACATTACTGAGGTACACCGTAGTGCTGGGCGGGGTGTGAGAGAGAGCACAGTCATGTCATGTGATAAGATCACCATATCAGCAACACGACCATCGCCTATGGGCAGCGGCGCTATCAAAATAAATATCTGCTGCCATTGCGTCCATAATGGGCACCCCCGCACGCTCAACTCGCGCCCCTCACTGCCAAACTTCTACACTCTACACACTGTAATGTACAGTACAGTATGTCCAGGCTATCACGTGATGCAGCGAACTGATTGTGTGAGGAGTGAAAACCGCTCTAGAAGTTCACAATGACTTATGTATCTTTAAAATAACAAATCATTATCATAAATTAATATGGTTCCATACCATTCGAAATACGTACCATAAAAATTATATGAATAAATTTTGCACTAACGCTGTTACCAATTATGTCCAAACATATTTTTTCGAAAACTTTCAATTCTTATTATGAAACTCGTTGAAATAAATTTACACCAATGCATTTGCCTGTAAGGCCAAAATATCTTCCTCAAGCCTCGTCCACACATGGCGATTTCTCTGCGGAAACACTGTCTGCCGACTGTCTGCGGCGATGTCTCCAGTATGTCTCCAGTATGTCTGCCGACTGTCCGCCGACTGTCTGCGGACTGTTGGGAGACAAATTTCGGTGTTTCTGGAGACAAAATACAGTGTTTTCTGTTTCCCGTTCGGATGGGAAACACGGAGACTTGAGACAAAACTTTTGTCTCAAGTCTGCATATGTGGACGTGTTTGGAGATAAGAGACCGGATACAACCCGAAAACGCAGCTGTTCAATTTTTGCCCATTTGTTTGTTGAACAGCAAAGCAGTAACATAAACATTACGGTTTTTAAACGGTGTTTAAAATTTAAAGTGGCCTAGATTTAGTTTCTTTTCTTCTTCTCTAAATCCCGCACCATCTTCTAAACAAAGATCCGAAAGAAGGTTTTGGCCGTAGTATGAACCTTGCTCGATCACATTTCGGGTCCACCAACGTCTCTTCCTCGGCTCCTTCGCCACATGGTTTAGAATTATGTATCCCGCACATGTTAAATAACGTGCTCCTCGGTAGCCATACCAACTTGACACTGGCGAGGCGACTCGGCAACTGGCTGGCTAGTGTGGACGCAAAACACATCGGAGACTTGTATCCGAAACTGTGTTGACAGACTGTCTCCAGTATGTCTGCCGACTGTCTGTCGACTGTCCGCCGACTGTCCGTCGACTGTCCGCGCACAGTCGGCCGATTCAGTCTCCATGTGTGGACTAGGCTTAGAAACAATGTTGGGTGACAATGGTAGTAGTTTTTGTATATTTGGAATATTTATCTTCAGACGAGGCTAAACATGGACCTGGGATGGACTGAGTGTACGGAGCTAGGTCTGCTGTCATGAGGGGAGTGTCCAGGAGTCTGGTAATACATCGGTGCCGGTGTAGCCGTGTAGCCGTGTTCCCGTGTTGCCGTGTTGGCGTGTCGCGGTCGTCGAGCCATTAAACACGCCGAGTATCGGTCGAGACAGCGTTTCCAGGGCGGTCGCATAAACATAAACCGGCCATAAAATGTAAGTAAGATAACCATAATCCGCATCTCGGTGTAATTTATTAGTAATTCAATAGTTAGCGATGGGATCGCGGGGCGGGCACGGCTGGCTGGCTAGGCCACGACAATGGGTTCGTGCGGAACATGGCTGATGGCGAGCACTGAACACTGAACAGGACTCTCTAGTATCTGGTACTCACTAGTATACAGCACTACTGTATCACGGAAATGTATAGTATGATACATCGGAATATATAATAGGCCAAGTAGGACTCACTAGTCTATAGTATCTGGTCTGGAGTATACAACACTACTGTATCACAGAAATTAGTCCAGTCAATGAATGATCCAAAAGTAGGTGTAGAGTGCGTGAGCAGGTAACTAAGCGATTCCTTCAGAAACTTGTTCAGGGGGCTTAGGGTGTTAACATACCAAAAGTCCTGACTCCTAGGTGGTGAGCCAGGGGGTGGAGGGGGTAAAAAGGGGGGGGGGAAAGGTACGCATTTTGGGTTTTTTGATTATATCTCGAAAACTATCAACTTTTTGTATACTATAGTAAATTATAAAATTGAAGAAGATTAAATTTTCTACAAGAAAAGTATATAATGTGTTTATTTTGGTTCAACAGATTACGAGTTATAACTTATTTAATTGATATCTTATTAAAATGCTCCTTCCATAAGAAATACATGTAAATTAGTATGCGAAATGGGGCGAATCCTATCCGCCCAAAGGAAATATAACTGATATTCTGGAAATGTTGACAAAATTTCCAGTAATTTGACACTTTAATCATGAAATTTTATCAAAAATTAAAGCGAGGGTGAGCGTTTAAAAATGGGATGATTTAAGGTTTTTTTTATATTTCCAATAAAAAAACACCAAAACTCGACATTTTGTTACCTCGCCCTCGCCTTAATTTTGGATCAATTTTAATGATTAAAGTGTCAAATTACTGGAAATTTTGTCAAAATTTCCAGAATATCAATTATATTTCCTTTGGGCGGATATGATTCGCCCCATTTCGCATACTAATTTACATGTATTTCTTATGGAAGGAGATTTTAATAAGATATCAATTAAATAAGTTATAGCTCGTAATCTGTTGAACCAAAATAAACACATTATATACTTTTCTTGTAGAAAATTTAATCTTCTTCAATTTTATAATTTACTATAGTATACAAAAAGTTGATAGTTTTCGAGATATAATCAAAAAACCCAAAATGCGTACCTTTCTCCCCCCCCTTTTCCCCCCTCCTCCCCCTGGCTCACCACCTAGGAGTCAGGACTTTTGGTATGTTAACACCCTAAGCCCCCTGAACAAGTTTCTGAAGGAATCGCTTAGTTACCTGCTCACGCACTCTACACCTCATTCCTTGACTGGACTAAATGTATACTGTAGTATGATACATCGGAATATAGCACTGAGCGAATATTAGTTACATAATGTCTTATAGTGACAATGATTTCTGTTTGCCATTAACTCTGGTACAAACTATTACTACCTCCAATACTAGTGGAGTACCTCCGGTCTCGTTGTTTTAGTGCCTTAGTTCTGGTTCAGCTAATTCTTCCGGCCGTTTAGAAGAGCACTGAGCAGTATCAGTAATGGCGGCGGGGACAACACTAAGAACATTAAAGAAAGTTTGACTCGAAGCTTTAATTCTATCTTTGTTGCGAAGTTGCGAGTTCGCAAATGACGATAGTTAAATGTAAGAACCTTTTAAATAAATTACTTTTCATATTATCAGAGCCTCGCGCCGCCTTCTACTTCGCGATTCTTGTTTCTTTTCCACGTATTCATTTCAAGTTCCTCAAACACATTTATGTTGTATTTCACTTCCGCATATTTATTATTCGCTATCGTTTCTCACGTATATTTTATGGTTGATAATGAATACACTATCAACTGATACGGTAACTATCGTATTGCTGCTATAAATGCATCAATTCGAGCTCAATTTACTATTTAAAAACTATAAACCGTGTCAACAAGAACCTTTTATACTAGTGCCATAAAACTACAGTTCAATATGCGCTTGAGTTCAAATGTCCTGGAAAGTCAATGCAAGTACAATACTCTGCATACTTACTTAGGATCTAAATTCTTTCGTTATTTCAGTTTTAAAATTTAATTAGTTACCAACACAATGATCATAAAAGTAATTAATTTATCAAGATACTAGGTGTACCACAGCCTGAGAAAAATTTGTTATCATTCGACGTAAAAAATAGAGGAATAGTGTAAACATAATAATTATCATGAAAACTAAACCACCTATTACACTACAGTATAATTCGGCGAAACAACATACTGTAGAGTCAGACTTGCATAGAGACCAATTAATTTACAAACATTGCATAGTAACGGTCGGAGACCAGGAATTGACTTGTTTGCCGCAACAGTAACAATTGTACAGATTGACGTGACGTCAAAGTAGAAGTAGGCCACGCCCCCGGGCCCCGGCCTCCCTGCATACTGTACTCAATATTGCACACTGTCCAACAACACCAACTTTACTTCTTTAATCGTGATACATT